ACCAGATCCCCGAGCCACCTCAACTGGCACCTCTCGATGTGGGGGAGCAGCGGCTCTACTCTGAGTCCCTCCCGGATGACCGAGCTTCTCACCCTATCTCTAAGGGAGAGCCCAGCCGCCCTACGGAGAAAACTCATTTCAGCCGCTTGTATCCGAGATCTCGTTCTTTCGGTCATGACCCAAAGCTCATGACCATAGATGAGGGAAGGAACGTAGATCGACTGGTAAATAGAGAGCTTCGCTTCTTGACTCAGCTGTCTCTTCACCACGATGGACCGGTACAACGCCCGCTTCACGGCGGATGCCGCACCGATCCGCCTGTTGATATCCCGCTCCCTTCTTCCCTCATTTGTGAACAAGATCCCGAGATACTTAAACTCCTCCTGTTAGAGATTTTTTGATATTATCATTTTGTTAAAGTGTTCTCTTCCTTACGTGTGTATGGGCTGACCTGGAGGTTACGATTGTCTTCATGCGAGATAGTAAAGCTTTATGGTTCTCAGACCTTCTTTGGTGTTTATCTAGTCTTAGGTGACAGTTTGACCTAGAGCTGAACTGGGCTCAGATTGTAAATTAGATATCACACCTGGAACTGAGTTGTTGGTCTGTTTGTGTTAAATGTTTTACGACCTGCACCATGTGACTGTTTTCTTTGACAATAAAGAGGGAGCTCAAGTGAAAGCAGATCAGAACTCTCTATTGAACAGCTTGGAGGAGCTGTTGATTGGAGATTTCTCCTTCTGCAGAAGCCTGACCATATTTAATTCATATACGTTGTCTGTGGTTATTTTATTGTAGGTTCGAGGAAAATACCTAACACCTCCACTTGAGGCAGGACATCCCCTTCGACCGGGAGGAGGCACCCTACCCTTTTCTGGCCCAAGACCATGGTCTCGGACTTGGATCCATGGTGCAAACCCAACAGGAAGTCGGTTATTTTGGATTGAAATGAACATTTTTTTCCGCCCTAGTGGAGGTTTGCAGGAATAAAGTTATTTTGAGCAAAAATAAAATTGGCTGTTCAGAGCAGTAAATATATTGTAAAAGTCACCAAACTTTGCACATACATCAGTGGTTCATAAAGTGACCCACAGAGTCAGAATAAAAGCGTCGGCCCAAAACTATCAGTCCACACATTAACTGTCTACTGCTCACAACTTTAAAATGATGTCACTGAAGTTGCCTGTAGTTTGTTCCCCTGCAAACAAACTACAGAAGCACAGATGATGGTACTAATCAAATAAAAAAGCAAAACACACATAACATCTGCGAGAAAGCCAGCAGAATGTAATTCTGTAGATTTCAAAAGGCATCAGCAGCAGACCGTCAAGACTTTGTGAATTAATTTAATAAAAAAATACGTGTATCAGATGGAAAACAGCGAATAAATTGAAGTTTCTCATTATCATTCATTTAAAAAAAAAATTTATATGTTTTAATGTAACAGTTAAAAGCTGTAACTTAAAGTGATTTTAAATGTTAGCATCAATCTCAAAGTCAGAATGAACAATTACATAAAATAATAAATGTACAGTGAGATGTATCATAATGCTGTGTACAGTTTAAAGAGTCATTTATTGAATATTTTAAATAATCTTAAAACAGAAGAAAGATCAAAGATAATATTTTGTGCATTTGCTCCCCTAAGCAACATCTACTTTGTGTTGATTTATGACACAAAACAGTTCATTTAAATGTGCAGACCATTCATTCTAAATGTTTAATGACGAATCTCTCTTGTTCTGATTTCAGTCAGTCAGCAGAGTGTTCACAGTAGCTTGGCCTCATGTGATCCAGGCTGCAGTATCTGGAGAGTAACAATGACTTTAACAGCTTTTCTGAACCAGGGATAGAACAGAGCGTAAATCACAGGGTTCAGACAAGAGTTGGCATAAAAGAGGAAAAACAAAATCGATGCATATGAGGTACTAATTAGATTAATATCAACTAATGAGTAGCAGTAATAAGGACAGTAACACGTTAGATATACAACAACTAGAACCCCCAGAGTCCTGGCTGCTTTTAACTCTGATTTCTTTGTTGCTGATGTCGCCGAATGAAACGTGGCGACTGTGATGTGAGAGCGCATGGCACGAGCCTGAGACACAGCCACCACAGACACTCTCAGATACAGAACTATGATGGTCGTCACTGGAAGAATGAAATTAAAAATGAGGTCAAATATTCCTAGAAAGTAGCTGATGATAAATTTACATTCTCCAATGCAGGATCTACCAGAATGAATCATCACATCCTTTGAATAGAAAAAGCTGCAGAAAGAAGCACAGAACCAACACAGACAAACACAATATTTGACTCTCGTCGAGGAGATTCTGGTGGGGTAATGCAGAGGGTAACATATAGCAATATAGCGGTCAACTGATATCAAAACAATGTTCCAAATTGAAGCACTGATAATGTTAGAAATCAAAAAACAAAAGAAAACACAAACAACATCTCCAAGAAACCAGCAGAATGTGAATCTGTAGATTTCAAAAGGCATCAGCAGCAGACCAACAAAAAAGTCTGAAACACCCAGAGAGAGGAGGAGGATGTTTGTAGGAGTGTGGAGCTGCCTGGAAGGAGACAAAATAACAATTATGCATCAATTATCAAATAAATATGGCCTAGCATTCTTAAAACTTAATCTGTAGATTCAGCTGAGAAGCTGCTGTTTGCCTGAAGTGAGAGACTGAGATGATGATGAGGAGGTTGAGCACTACAGTGATCAGTGAGATGAAGAGCAGCACAGAGTTCAGGAGAACGGCTTCAGACCAGTGAAGTGTGGGCTTCCTGCAGGAGCTGTTGAGGAGATGTGGGAAACAGAGATCACTTGTGTCTTGGATCTCCATCCTCAGACGGCTGCAGCTCTCTGACCTGATCCTGTCCTGCTGCACATGTTTATCTGTCCTCCCTCCTCTCTGCTGCTTTGTCTCTCTGGGGTTTCTGCTTCCTTCTCCTCCTCTTTAGACTTTTTTTAGGATTCATTTTAACGTTAGGACTCAGTGACATTGCATTTGTTTCATTCCCAGTCACTCACTATTGGTCTCTGCTTTTGATTTCACTATGGCTGTGTGAAGGCTTATTGTAATCACGTCCCCATGTCTTTACTAGGGAATGTAAAATTCCCCGAAATTCACCAAAATTTACCCCAAATTTTTCCTCGCAGGAAATTTTTAAATTTCAATAAAATTTCATTTCATTTCATTTCAATTTCAATGTGACAAAATTTCCCTACAGTTCTCCTAACATGAGATAGGCTAAACTGCACGTTGTAGACATTTAAAACCTGGTACTTAGGTAGATACGACCTAAATCACGGAAAAAAGTCTTTTGGATGTCTGTCCTAAAAAGTACAGGAATGCAGCCATTTTGGGTCAAAAGGCAAATTTGGCCATTTTTGATGTTTATCCTCCTTGATCTTTAACAAACTCCTCTTTGGGATTTAGAACAATCAGCTTCATTTTTGCTCAGTATTCAGGTAAGAGATGGGTAATTAAAAGTTATCAAAATCTTGAGCTTTGAAACAAGTTTAAGGGGTATGACCAAGTGACAAACTTGGCATTATGACGTTTTTAGTTTTTTTTTTGTGAAAGCGCTAATAAAAACGTCAATTGGCACCAAACATTGTGTTAGTCACCAAGGTCAGATTCCCCAATATTGAATGTGGTCGATTGCTAACATTATCTAAAGTTATTTTTTCTGTGTGAAGTTCCATTTCGGACTCCCTTCATCCAATCAAAATGTTTATGTTTCAGAAGACAGACAACAAGTTAGTCTCACTTGTTTTAGAGCACAATGAGCTGTCATTGGAAGGCATGGCCATGACAGCGTGACGAAATCAGACGTCACGGTGCTGACACACGTTCGGCTCTGACTTCCACAGATTAAAGCTGAGCTCAACCAAAGTCACTATGATCTGTCCTAGTACAGCTCCCTGCAGGACTCCAGACCAATATTTTGTCGACATCTAGAGTTTTAAAAGAAATTCTAACGTAAAAACTAAAATCTATAATAAACATCACTATCCTTTATATTGATTATGTATTTCAGTAAAGCAAAATATTAACTGCTCATGAAAACAACTGATTTCCATCCACAAGTAGATGGAAATTATGGATCCAAGAGACATAAAAGTCTCTTGGATCCATGGTGCAAACCCAACAGGAAGTCAGTTATTTTGGATTGAAATGAACATTTTTTCCGCCCTACTGGAGGTTTGCAGGAATGAAGTTATTTTGAGCAAAAATAAAATTGGCTGTTCAGAGCAGTAAATATATTGTAAAAACTTTGCACATACATCAGTGGTTCATAAAGTGACCCACAGAGACAGAATAAAAGCATCGGCCCAAAACTATCAGTCCACACATTAACTGTCTACTGCTCACAACTTTAAAATGATGTCACTGAAGTTGCCTGTAGTTTGTTCCCCTGCAAACAAACTACAGAAGCACAGATGATGGTACTAATCAAATAAAAAAGCAAAACACACATAACATCTGCGAGAAAGCCAGCAGAATGTAATTCTGTAGATTTCAAAAGGCATCAACAGCAGACCGTCAAGACTCTGTGAATTAATTTAATAAAAAATACGTGTATCAGATGGAAAACAGCAAATAAATTGAAGTTTCTCCTTATCATTCATTTAAAAAAAAACCTTAATATGTTTTACCGTATCAATTTAAAACTGTAGCTTAAAGTGATTTTAAATGTTAGCATCAATCTCAAAGTCAGAATGAACAATTACATAACATAATAAATGTACAATCAAATGTATTATAATGCTGTGTAAAGTTTAAAGAATCATTTTTGAATATTTTAAATAATCTTAAAACAGAAGAAAGATCAAAGATAATATTTTGTACATTTGTTCCCCTAAGCAACATCTACTTTGTGTTGATTTATGACACAAAACAGTTCATTTAAATGTGCAGACCATTCATTCTAAATGTTTAATGACGAATCTCTCTTGTTCTGATTTCAGTCAGTCAGCAGAGTGTTCACAGTAGCTTGGCCTCATGTGATCCAGGCTGCAGTATCTGGAGAGTAACAATGACTTTAACAGCTTTTCTGAACCAGGGATAGAACAGAGCGTAAATCACAGGGTTCAGACAAGAGTTGGCATAAAAGAGGAAAAACAAAGAAAATGAATAAGGGGTATTAGTTAAACTAATCCCAACTAATGAGTAGCAGTAATACGGACAGAAACACGCTAGATATACAACAACTAGAACCCCCAGAGTCCTGGCTGCTTTTAACTCTGATTTCTTTGTTGCTGATGTCGCCGAATGAAACGTGGCGACTGTGATGTGAGAGCGCATGGCACGAGCCTGAGACACAGCCACCACAAACACTCTCAGATACAGAACTATGATGGTCGTCACTGGAAGAATGAAATTAAAAATGAGGTCAAATGTTCCTAGATTGTAGCTTATAAAAAATGTGCATTCTCCAATGCAGGTATTCTTCCAGCCAGGCTGAATCAGTTCATCCTTTGAATACAAAAGGCTGCAGGAAGAAACACAGAACCAACACAGAGAAACACAATATTTAACTCTCGTCAAAGAGATTCTGGTGGGGTAATGCAGAGGGTAACAAATGGCTACGTAGCGATCGATAGATATCAGCACAATGTTCCAGATCGAAGTGCCAAGGATGGTATTTATCAAAAAATAAAAGAAAATACACATAACATCCCCAAGACCCCAGCAGAATGTAAATCTGTAGATTTCTAAAGGCATCAGCAGCAGACCAACAAAAAAGTCTGAAACACCCAGAGAGAGGAGGAGGATGTTTGTAGGAGTGTGGAGCTGCCTGGAAGGAGACAAAATAACAATTATGCATCAATTTTAGAAGAAATATCTAAATTTCAATTCCTTTTCCTTTTAGCATGGCATTTCCAAATGCTAAATTTGGAAGTAGATTCAGCTGAGAAGCTGCTGTTTGCCTGAAGTGAGAGACTGAGATGATGATGAGGAGGTTGAGCACTACAGTGATCAGTGAGATGAAGAGCAGCACAGAGTTCAGGAGAACGGCTTCAGACCAGTGAAGTGTGGGCTTCCTGCAGGAGCTGTTGAGGAGATGTGGGAAACAGAGATCACTTGTGTCTTGGATCTCCATCCTCAGACGGCTGCAGCTCTCTGACCTGATCCTGTCCTGCTGCACATGTTTATCTGTCCTCCCTCCTCTCTGCTGCTTTGTCTCTCTGGGGAGTTTCTGCTTCCTCCTCCCCCTGTGATTACATGCATTTCTTTTTTTTTATTAGGTCATTATTTACATCTTTTGTTCATGCTACAATTTTAAAAAGTCATAAGGCTGGTGAAAGATTAGGTGGAATTGTCCTTAAGCCATTTCCTGAATCTCCAATCAGAAGTCAAACAGAGCAGGAGCTTCTTGACCAGATGGTTCATGTATTTCCAAATGTATTTTTATTGATTATTAGCAATATGTTGATAAATATTATACAAAGAGATTCATAGAAATACAATTATAAAAGGTTTTAAGCCACAAAAAGATGCCTGAACAGCAGACATTCCCAGACTAATGTAAAATAAATAGCATTTGCACAAAGTATAATGAAGACACCACAAATAAGAAAAAATAACCTTTGAGATAACCCTGACAGTGAAATACAATATCCACAAATAACAAGTGAATAAAGATAAATAAATGAAACAAAATAAAGGCAGTGTAGTTGGTGGTACTCAGACCAAGAGCAGAAAGACTTCTCCTAGACTTTTAAAAATGTTTCTTTTCAGAGCCTCAGGGTGTAAACGTCCTCCTTTCAAAGTCAAGAACAAAAAAGAAAAAGTTACGTTTTTGTTGAAGTCTTCGTGACATTACATTATCAGATCATGCATGAAACTAAGTAAATAATCCTAATTCCTATGCCTTCTCCTAGTGCTCTAGAAACAACCAATCACAGTCATTTTACATTTTACATTTACATTTTGCGAAAGAGGAAGTTGCGCTCGGCGTATTCTGAAGTTTGGTGCAGAAACAGCCTCAGGCGAGGAAAAGGGTTTTCAATTGTTTGATACAGCAGCTGAAAATGAAAAAAAAAACTGATGCAATTTTGGTCCCCCAGTAGAACCAGGGCAAGCTGATATTCAGGTGTGAAAGTCTGCAGTCATCTCATTACGTTCACAGATCATCTACAGTATGTTGGCCTCTCGTGAGCCGGGCTGCAGTATCTGCAGAGTGACGATGAGCTTCACGGCTTTCCTGAACCAGCGATAGAACAGGGCGTAAATCACAGGGTTCAAACAGGAGTTGAAGTAGAACAAAAAGATCAAATACGACGCATACGACGTGCTGGTCACGTTGACCTCAGCGAGGGAGTAACAGAAGTAAGGGCAGAAGCACGTGAGGTAGACGACGACGAGAATACCGAGAGTCCTGGCAGCTTTCAGCTCTGATTTCTTGACGGTTGAAAAGTGATGCGAGCCGGTCGTGACGCGAGAGCGCATGGCCCGGGCCTGAGACACGGCCACCGCAAACACCCTCCCGTACAGAACCACAATGACTGTGACCGGGACAATGAAGAACAAGGTCAGCTCGACGAGCCACGCAACGGGCTGGGCAACGTACGCACACTGTCCAACGCAGGACTTGCTCCCGCCCGGCTGAAACAGCTCGTCCTTCAGGAAGACAAGCCTGTAGACGGCGTTGCTGATCCAACACAGGCAAACGCAGCATTTCACTCTCCCCATAGTGATTTTGGTGGGGTACCGCAGAGGATCGCAAACGGCCACATAGCGGTCAGCCGCTATGAGGACGATGGTTCCGATTGAAGCGGAGACGACGTGCGCAATCAGAAACCCGTACAGAGAACACAGAGCGTTCTCCCAGCAGGCGACTTTTCTGTGGAGTTCCAGAGGCATCAGCAGGAGGCCCACCAGGAAGTCCGAGACGCTCAAAGACAGGAGGAGCACGTTTGTTGGCGTGTGAAGCTTCCTGCGAGAAAAGACAAAGACACTTTTTGAGTCACACCTGGTTTTCATCGATGAGCTTAGCGTTTGAGATGCGGCTGAAGTCTCTGCCTGAAGTGGGAGACCGAGATGATTACGAGGAGGTTTAGGGTCGCCGTGGTCGCAGAGATGAGAGCGAGGACTACGCTCAAGAGCACGCCGTCAGTCCCAGGGAGTGTCGGTTTCCTGCACGACTTGTTGCGCAGCTGAGGGAAACAGAGATCTTTATGATCCGCCTCCATCGTCCTCCAGTAGCAGCTATGGAAGACCTCTGAGCCGGACTGGGGCTTTATCTTGTTCCGCCCTCTGGCCCCCTTCCCCTCTTCAGCATCGCTTCACGTAGAACCTGGAAGTTGCTCCTCCTTCCCGACAGGCAGAGATGAATTTCTGTTCGAACCATGACATGAATATAATGAAAAAAGGTTAAAAGTAGAAGCTTCCACAGCGGTTATTCTATAAAACGACCAGCGCAATGTGGCACATCAAGAACTCTTCAAAGTGTCGGGGAGCTGAGGTGGTGCAGGGCTTGAGCACAACCCACATATGGAGGCCTTAGTCCTTGATGGGCTGTCACAGGTTCGATTCCCGGCCCGGTGACCTTTGCTCCATGTCTTCCTCCTCCTCTAATTACCCACTTTACTGTCAAATGAAGGCCACTAGAGCTTTTAAAAAACTCTTTAAAGTGCACTCACCACAACAGACGACTTCAGTTTGTCCATCTTGAATATTTCGGACTCGAAGGCCAAACTTCAATCAGTTGTGTTGCAACACGACTCGCTCTTGTTGAACCTCATTCAACAAACCTTGGATCATGTTTGATATGTAGCCAAAACGTTTCAGCTGAAGTCATCATTGGTCTGTTTGCTTGGCGGGCAACGGCGTTACCTGTCATTACGTTCTCAAAGTATAATAACGTCTCACGGTGTGTCACTACAGGATCTCACCGTCAGCTCATCTCTCTGATGTTACCCTTAAAGTATGACTGTCTTCGAACTCTGTACAGCTCGAGTCCGATGAGAACATTTAGAGGGATGCTTGAAACCATGGCCAAACTGCTCCAGGCGAACCAGGGCCGCAGTTGGAAATGCGACGCCTGCAGGTTGTTTACCACGGCTGACGCGGCTCACAGTGGGTGTGGTGTAGCAATAACAGCTGAGGATGAACATTTTATGTGTTCCGAACTGAATCCAAACAGAGCAGGCATGCATGCTTTATTCTGACTGTTAAAACTTTTTCCAGGGAATGTTTGACAGACCAGACAGTCAGGTTTATCTGATCTCTTTTATGGGTATTTTTCCATTGTTTAATGCCATTAGGTCACATCACACAGTCCCAGAAAGCTAAATGTGGCTACAAACTACACAAAGTTTCCCAGCGGAAAGTTTGAGGCTACTTGACTTCAGTTCAGTTCAAAAATACCTTATTAATCCCAAAGGGAAATGAAATGTTTTTGGGTTATTGATTTGTAGTTCAGTCAGAAAAAATTAAAGCATCATTTCCTGGAGATAAGGTTTTATTATTAGACATTTCTGGTGCTGTATGAAGAATAAATGGCACATTTTGGTAAAAACAAACAAACAAACTTGAATTAGCTAACACTAACAACACAGTTCCTAACGATGTCAATATTCACTATTCATACTGAACTATGACATCACTTTGATGGTTCTATTTTTATCTATTTTAACTTCTGGCAGTTTTAGTTTCGTCGTTTGACGTTTCTCTCAGAAGTTTTAGTTGTGTTTTGCCACCTTAGTGAGTTGGTTGAATAAAATGTCCCAGGTCTCAAGTTCATTTCATTTTGTTAATAAATTCTTATATATTTGTTTATTCCATACACATGTAGCGACCGACTGGCGTAGCAGGCTAGTGCTGAACTTTTCTGTCAATTATTATTTTTAAGATATTGGTTTCATCAGGCTGGTATGATAAATAACTGAGACTGAACTCTTTTGTAATATATATTGCAAAAGATATATGTATCTTTTGCAATATATATATATATATATATATATATATATATATATATATATATATTCTTTTTTCATAATGAGCTGATGCTCTGATATTTGCATAAAAACATCCAGTAACACTTTATTTGAAGCGGTGCATCAGACTGACATAATCATGACTTTTATGATTATGAACTGTTATGAACATGAAGGAGTCTTCATGACCGTCTATGACTATTGCCATGACGTGTCCTTTGACAAATAATGACACTTTTAATACAAAGTTGCTTTGAAAGTGTCATCAATAGTGTCAACTTTACATTAAAGTGTCATTTATGAGATAAATTAAAAGTTGCAACTTTTAATAGACTTTCAATGCAACGTTTAAAACAACGTTGCATTAAAAGTGTCACTATTTACCGGATGACGCTTCATGAAGATATTCATAAAGACTTCATGTTCATAGAAGGTGTTTATGAAAGTGTAATGTTCAGCCCTTGAAATAAAGTGTCACCAAATGTCTCTATTGACATCAGTGTTCTATATTTCATAAAACTATGAAAGTTTCTCACTTTCATATCTGCTTTTGAAATGATGACACATACACATTTTCTCTGGTAATTAAGGGCAATTTTTCCCCCTCCCTGTCCAGCCCTGCACATTACAGCACATCAGGTGTTTTTTTTCGTTCTCCTTTCACTCGGGCCTCTGCAGTATGTTGGTCTCACTGGAGCCCTGCTGCAGAATCTGCAAAGTGACGATGTGTCTGACTGCTTTTCTAAACCAGGGATAAAACAGGGCGTAAAGCAAAGGGTTCAGACAGGAGTTAAAATAAAACAAAAAGACGAAAAAAGTCATAAGTGTGTTGTTGGCGACGTTCCTAAGTATGCGGGAGTAGCAGTAATAAGGACAGAAGCAGCACAGATACACGACGATGAGCACACCGAGAGTCCTGGCGGCTTTCAGCTCCGACTTCCTGGTCACGACCTTCACCGAGAGCCGCAGCGTGACGGCCGCGTCGCGAGAGCGAGCGGCGCGCGCCTGAGACACGGCCGCCACGAACACCTTGGTGTAGAGCGCCACGATGACCGTAACTGGAGCAATAAAATTCAGGATGAGGTCAAAAGGTCCTGCAATGGAGTTGGGAGAGAACATGCATTCTCCAACACAGGACCTGTTCCTGCCCGGCTGAATCAGTTCGTCCTTCAGGTAGAGCAGCCGGTAGGAGGCTCCCAGGAGCCAGCAGAGGCCCACACAGCACTTGACCCGGGTCAGGGTCATCCTGGTGGGATACTGCAGCGGGTCACAGATGGCTATGTAGCGGTCGATCGATATGAGGACGATGTTCCCGATAGAAACAGAGATGATCAGAGCAATCACGTAAATATAAAGCAAGCACAAGACGTCCCCCAACATCCAACAGGTGTTTTTCCTGAAGAGATTCCCCGGCATCAGCAGGAGGCCGACGAGGAAATCAGACATGGCCAGAGAGAGGAGGAGGATGTTGGTGGGGGTGTGGAGCTGCCTGGAAGGAAGACAGAGAGCAACAGTTGTCATTCAAAGTTTCGACGACACAAAGTCACGTTCAGAGAATCAGTTTTTCAGAATGTTTCAAAGACTTCAAGTCTAGGTTCTCCTGAGAGGTTTGATCTCTGCCTGAAGTGGGAGACTGAGATGATGATGAGCAGGTTGAGCACCGCGGTGAGCAGAGAGGCCAAGGACAAGGCGATGCCCCCGAGGACCGTCACCGTCTCCGACCCTTGGAGCTTCGGCATCCTGCAGGAATCGTTGACAAGTTGTGGGAAACAGAGCTGAGCTTCGTCCTGCGCCTCCATCGTTGCGAGGCCTGAGCTTCACCCCGCAGTCTGAGCAGGATGCTGATCCGCAGCATATTTTTGTTTCCATGTTGTGCTCCTCCTCCCGTAATGCATCACACGTTGAATGACGTTAACCCCACACCCTAGTGCCATTCATATTGCTTCTTGATGCTTTTCATTTTTTAAAACAATATTACAAATTTTATTGATCTTAGGAACTTCATCACTAGGCAAAACTCACAGATTACCTACACACAAATGAGATGTAGAAAGCTTTTATTTCTGTTGATTATGATGCTTTTAACACTTACAGCTATTGGAAACATGACATTTAAATTTACAATATTACATTGGACCAATAAAAACCTACTTTGAAAAACAGAAATGTGAGCTCAGTGCTTAAAAGTTATATTCAAAATAATTCACTAAACACAACTGCACATGCATACAAACATACTCTCATAGATATATGTATATGAAATGGAATTAAAAATTGATGTGATCATTGAAGCATGTTGTTTGACTCATACAGGATTACCGATGTACATGTTCTTTGTCATAGTGTTAATGACTGAATTCCTAGTTTAGTGTCTTTTGTGAGCATCAGGTGTATTTCCAGGGAAGCGTGGCTTACAGTATGTTGGCGTCACAGGAGCCAGGCTGCAGCGTCTGCATGGTGACAATGAGCCTGATGGCCTTCCTGAACCAGGGATAGAACAGGGCGTAGATCACCGGGTTCACACAGGAGTTCAAATAAAAGAGAAAGATCAAAAACGATGCGTACGCAGTGCTGGTCACATTAACCTCAACAATGAAGTAATTGTAATACGGACAGCAGCACATTAGGTAGTACACAACGATGAGAACGCTCAGACCCGGGTCAGGGTCTGCTTTCAACTCTGACCTTTTGGTTGGCGCGTTAGCCGAGCGCTGCGGCGTGCCGGCCTGGACATGGGAGCGCACGGCGTGGGCCTGAGACACGGCCACCACGAACACTCTCACGTACAAGAACGAGATGATCGAAACTGGACATATGAAATTCAGAGCGAGGTCAACGGTCCCGGTCACGTAGCTTTATCGTGAACGTGCACTCTCCGAGGCAGGACCTGCTCCTGCCTGGTTGAAGCAGCTCATCCCTCATGTAAAACACGCTGTAAAAACCTGCACCAAGCCAACACAGGCCGATACAACGCTTGACTCTTCCCAAAGTGATCCTGGTGGCGTAATGGAGAGGGTGACAAATGGCTACATAGCGGTCAAACGATATCAGAACGATGCTTCCGATGGAACCAGAGACAATCTGACAGACCAGGTAACAATACAGAGAGCATATGATATCCCCAAGAAACCAGCAGGCTGTGCTTCGAAAGATTTCTCCAGGCATCAGCAGGAGACCCACAAGGAAATCTGAGACCGCCAGTGAGAGGAGCAGCAGGTTAGTGGTGGTGTGAAGCTTCCTGGAGTGAGACAGAAAGAAAGAAAGGCAAACGCCCTGTGAAAACAGAATCACACTAAAGTGACGGCTCTGCACGTTTCTATCCAGCTGTTTTCGTCTTTGCCTGAAGTGGGAGATTGAGATGATGATGAGCAGGTTGAGAAGTACGGTGGACAGAGAGAAGAACGACAGGACAGTGTTCAGGAACACGGCCTTAGACCAATGAAGCGTCGGCTTCCTGCAGCTGTTGGCGAGTTGCGGGAAACAGAGTTCCTCCTCGTCCTCCGTGGCCATGCCGAGGCGTCCGTCTCTCTGACCGCATCTTTCTGTGGCTGGTTGATAAAAGTTTTTGCTTCTCCATCGTCTCCCCTCCTCTGCTCTCTACAGATCACGTTAACACTCCTCCATGGCGCATTGTCAAGTTTTCATTGGTGGTCATGTTCACATTTGAAAAACTTCATTGACCCCAAAGGAAAACTGAACATAAATCCTATTTTGTTTTTATGCTATACATTGCTAGAGGTACACTGATTCAATACTGATATCTGTAGCGGCCTCGATATTAAAAAATATTCTAGATTTTTGTGTGGATAAAGGCATATCTATTCAGTCTAATTCTATTTTTGGTGCTCTGAGTGATAATCATGCTTTATTATTTATTTTCCATTCTGTTTAGAATTCCTAATTGCACTTTCTGAATCATTTGAAGATTTGTTACAGTTTTTACACGTCCAAAGTAGTCAAACTACTTTTGTTGGTTTTTTTACGTCGGGAGTTGTGTTGCACTGACACAGCAAATTCAATTTGTGTCGTCTCTGCATGTTTGGCCAAGATGGTGAAGCTATCGGTGTACTTAGAAAAAAGAAACATTTTAAGTCAATTCAGCACCGGTTTGCTGTATTGGATCGATATCGACCGATATTAAACCTCAGATATTTGTATCGCTATCGGAAGTCTATCCAAATGTTAATGGAAAGTTGCGTGACGATAAAGCACCATTTAAATAAGATGATTTTTGGTGTTGCTGCCACTTGGAAGCTTGAAAAATGTTACATTTTCTAATCGGTGAACACTACAGGATGGGCAAACAAACATCTTTTTATGTGGAGATGGATACTAAGTATGGAAAAAAAGTAAGTTGGCTATCGTCAGAATCACTGAGGTGTTTCACATGAAGTCAGAGGAAGTATAATGCAGTGCAACTCAAGAAATTGAAATACTAAGTTATAATGCTGCTTGACATGCTATTGGCCGGCTGTTGTAAAGCAACCAATCCAGAAGCGGAGTTGATTGACTGAACCCCAAACAGCAGAGCTAAGCGCCTCATGGAACGGGTCGAGTCATATTGAATGTGACCTATGTGCCAGTAAGCTAATGCAAGAAAATGGACTGAACTTCAGAAAGTGCTGGTCTACTAAATATTTTACGTTACTACCTGGCATTGAGAAATTCTCTCTCACACACACACTAATATGTTTGGTGAGCAAAGAAATGACTAAAGACAGAGTTTCTAACTTTTGATGTGATTATTTAATTGTTTTGGGGGATTTCTTAGAAATTTGTGCTCTTTATTCGCATCGATAGTTGTTATATTGGTGAATAGACACACACCTTTACAACGTTTTATTCAAGAACATGTAATTTAATGTACATTTAACATTTCGAGACATGAAGAAAAAAAAATATTGTTCTTTTTTTTATATTTCCAGCTCTGACCCTGTTTTTTTTTTTACTGGTTTAACAGCAAGAGTCGTACCAGTGGCCTAAAACAAGGGGCTGAGCACTGAAATATCACAACTTTTTCAGAGACAAATGTTAAATGATGATTTTCTGGCTTATCACTTGTAAAAAGAATTGTTCATGTTGTTCATGTTTAATTGATGCCAGAAGTCAGAAAACTTCCAAGTCATAACATAGAGCTTGGTGAAGAGATTGCATCATCTGCATCATGCTATGTATCCTGAAACATGTTGACACCTTTGATTGCAGCGATGCCTTGGAGGTCTAGTGACTAATGCATAGAGGTGTGAACAAACCCGTCAAATGAGGCTCAGCGAGAAGCCATTAGGAACAAAAGGTGTTTACAGAGAAACATTGTTAATCTCACTGGAGTTGTGTGTGTGTGTGTGTGTGTGTGTGTGTGTGTGTGTGTGTGTGTGTGTGTGTGTGTGTGTGTGTGTGGGTGTGTGTGTGTGGGGTGTGTGTGTGTGTGTGTCTGTGTGTGTGTGTGTGTGTGTGTGTGTGTGTGTGTGTGTGTGTGTGTGTGTGTTATGGAGTTGTTAATGGACAAAGGATCATTTTTATATGTTTTTAAAGTTATTTCCATTGATGGACATGGACCCATGGCAATGAAAGCACAACTAATAACCACAATTCAAGGTGGTTGTTCTGAAGCGTTTGTATAAAATTAAAGTTTTTAGCCGTCATGTAATATATGTGTGCTACGATACAAGATTATCCTATGTGTTTTTTCTACTTTGACCTAATTATTCATCATTTACAATCTTTGATTTTTGGAGTGAACCTCCATTTCAAAAATGAATTTGTTACAGTTCCCTGACGAAGACACTGCTGTGTTTGGGAGACTTCGCAAAACTTTCCTCTGTCTGATTCAAAATGGTTGGTTGAGTTCAGTGTTTTGTATCATTTCATAGTGAGATTCCCTCATGGAAAACAAACCTGGACTTTGCTTTGATTCTTTCATGCAAACCAAAATGCCAAAAGCTCCACAACCTGTAGACCTGCCAATCATTTTGCGAGGTAATCATTGCATAATCATGGCCCATAATTCTGGGCCAGCAGAATACGCCTTAGTCTTAGATTTTGTGATTGCAATATGACAATCTATGACAACATGACAATTTGTGAAAGGTCAGAAAAAAGCAAGTAACTGGATGTGTGTTTGTTGATGGTTTTGTTGAGCCGCAGTGTGGTGGCACTGACTGCCTGGCTATTGGGAAGTGGAGATGTTCCACAGACTCCCACCGAAGGCAGCAAGATGGGACGTCTTGTCTGCACTGTGAGGCCAGGCATTGTGCTACAATGTAGCCCAGCAAGGCTCACAACTAACTTTTGTAAATCCTCAGCTTACTTGTCATGTATAGCCAAGCCCGTCCTCTGATGCTGCTGATTGCAGATGGCCTTTTGCTACTGTGTGGAGAGATGGGGAGGCTGAGTGGGTAAGTCGTCACAATGAGCAGGACTGTTCATTTAGATGCCTCAAGGACACCTGTGCTGGCCAAGCTGGACAGCGATGCCTCATTATATTTACCTCACTTAGTTTGCGCTTAACCCAAATTCTGCAGTCTAACTATCTGCAGTTCCGACTCAATCTGTCGTTTCAGATTGAGTGCAGTCATTGTTCTCTGTGCCTGTGTGGCATTCCCATCCACTGAGGGGGAAATCCTCTGCCAGGCCTTCAAAATACAACAATGGTTTGCCACAGAAATGTCAAAGTATTCAATTTTTCTGTTTCTGTAGGCTTGTTATGTCTTGAAACCCCAGTCGTTTATGACAGACAGTCACTGGCACCGGTTCAAGTTCAAGGTGACTTTTTCCAGGAGGGTGTGAGGAACCTTAACCTTAATTCACAACAAAACTTTTTGTACTTCAATCAGTAATGAACAAAGTTTTTTTTTTTGTTTGTTTTGCTTTCAATTTCTGTGAATAATCTCATTAAACTTTTCAATAACATTTCAAAAGAACTTAATGGAGATTCTGTTTAGTCAATTTATAAAAGTTTAAGCAGAGACAGACAAAGGCCATATAGACGGATTACACAATGAAAGAACTTAGAAAATGGTCGAGACATTTTTTCTTTTTTGTGAACGTTTTAAAGGCCTCATCATTTACCGTCATTCAATTCAGCCGTATTGAGCCAGAAATATGCAGGATGGCAGCATCCAACGCCAGTGGTGCTTAATGCAACAACAAGAGCCACGCATGGGACTTTTTTCTCTATGTGAGAAAAATATGAAGGTTGTCGGTGCAACAAAAAGCTTTTCTGCAAAGGATTCAACACATTTTACCCTACAACTTTATGGGAGGACTAATTTTCTTTGACTCCTTTGTGTTCGATTCTTACATGTATGTGATGTGAATATTGTGACAACAGTACACACACATACACACACGCTTATAAGGAAACCTTCAGCCTTAAAATTGTGCAGCAGTATTGAAAGGTTAATGACATGCATGTTGCTTATTGTCGCTTTAAAAAACAGCCATGAGACGATACATTTTCTTAAGAACCACATTAAACAAAGCATGTAATTATCAGTTGTTTGGTGGTTATCAAACGTGTTTCAGCATTTTATTTTATTTTATTTTTTTAGCACGAGTCACTGCAGCACATTGGCCTGACAGGATCCAGGCTGCAGGATTTGCAGCGTGACAATGAGCCTGATCGCTTTCCTGAACCAGGAGTAGAACAAGGCGTAGATCACAGGGTTGAGACAGGAGTTAAAGTAGAAGAGGAAGAACAGAAAAGGCACAGACGGCACGTTGGGTAGGTTCACCACAACAAGAACGTAACCATAAAACGGACAGTAGCACATTAGATACACAAAGACCACTACTCCGAGGGTCCTTGCTGCTTTCAGCTCTGATTTCCTCGACTTCAGGCCCACCGACAGCACAGGGTCACGGCCGCCACGTTGGAGCGCATGGCACGAGCCTGGGACACGGCCACCACGAACACTAATAATAATAATAATTGGACCAAATTATCAAAGATTTCATTTGCAGTCTGCAGAAATTTTACTCTCTAAAAACAAGTTTTTGCCTGAAATGGGAGACAGAGATGATGATGAGCAAGTTGAGCATCACAGTTAGCAGAGAGATGAATAAAGTGACGTTCAGGAGGACGCCCTCAGACCAGCTGGGTCTGGGCCGTCTGCAGGAGCTGTTGGGATGTTGTGGGAAGCAGAGCTCACCTCCCTCCTTGCTCTCCATCTTCGCACGTCCACAGCTCCTCCGATCTGCTGATTTAATCTTTTCTTAACCATCCCAACCCCTTTAGGTAACCTTAGCAGCAAATGTTTGACTCCCTCCGCCCCCCTCACTTTGCACAACTTCTTGCTCTCCAAGTCAAATGAAAGTTTTGGGGAACAAACTGAAAGCAGGATTGTCCACTTTTTGTGGCACAGAAGACGCAGTTGAATCTTTGATCAGCCTTCATTTCAAATAAAACACACATTGTACAGACATTTGGAAAATAACTTTAACCAAACTTGTACAAAACATGAATTAAATTGAAATTACTTTAAGAAACATTTTCAATTCACTTGTTTGTCGTGTAGAACAAATTTTCAACCCTTTCATCGTTTGTTTTGCTCTTCAGTTATCATCTGCTTCCTGTTCGCCAGAGACACTTCCTGTCAAAGTTGTTGGCCAGGATTTCCTCTCACCTTTGAGCAAGTCGAATTCAATCCCTCTGTGGTTCTACCTTTGATTTCAGGTCAAACCTTTGGATTTGAATGTTTTTATCACAACCTTACACATGTTCGATGGGTCTCCTCATGGCAGGTGTAATGGAGGGTGTCTTTGGAGTGATACTGGCAGATTGCAGAGAGAAAGGCCTGGCATCAATACCTGCTGAAGGTCTCTGAGAAACAGGGGTGACAATGTCATCAGGATTGGGACCTTTTGTTGTTTCATTCACCACTAGCAAGGTCACTTCTTCGTTCACGTTCTGCCCTCCTCCGCTTGGTGTTCCAAATTTGATCTGGCCCAGGTGGACGCTACGTTCGCTACGTTCAGCTGGTCTTTTCGGATGAGGCTGAACGGTTGTAATTCAGAAAGAGCAGGACCCTGGTGCCCACTTGCTTTGTGTAAGATCCGAACCTTCAACTTTGTGGACAGATATATAGGTTAAACTAACATTAATGATCTTATTCGAGTGTGAAGTCATTGAAACACAAGATGATGTTGAAAGGGAATCGCGCGAAAGCGTGCACCTGGACATGCTTTCGCGTTATTTGTCGAAGATGCTAATAAAAGTCAGTTTTCTCATTTTACACACAAAAACCGAATTTTCTCAGAGCTCCATTGTGGTTGAAGCTTTTATTAATAATCGTTTTTAGTGATATTACATGTATAAAACAAACTAAACGAGACCAAAAGTTCTTGATCTGTAGCTCTACTTGGACTGATATGTGTGTTCAGTCCGCTGTTTAAGCAGCATGATAAAAACTGATGCAGGAACGACACACAACCCCAGGTATTTTTTATTTTTTTTGTGTGTGTGCCTTAGCCATTTATCTTGTCCGTGCCGTAGTTCTGTTAATTTTGTAGTTAACTGAGCTCTAAAAAAACCCCAATAAAACCAAAACAAAACACAAAAAATCAAACTGGCCGTGAAATTTCAGAGTAAAAGCAGAAGATTCTCTGTGGAGCCACTGAGATCAACTCTTTACTGAAAGTGTAGCTCCTTATCCGGACGATGAACCCGTTTAAAGTCAAGAGACATTTTCAACTCGGGTGAAAAATCTTGGCAGCAGTTGCATCACGCCGATGCTTGTCTGCATCCTGTCATTGCTGGCATGTTTTCTTCACACCTTTAATTGCAACGACACCTCAGAGGCCGAGTCGACGTCGTCTGACGGTAATCGGTGAAAGTGTGAACAGAACTTCTGTCAGGAGAGTTTCACCGGCCAGCTTTCAGAGGCTAAACAACAGGTAGAGAGGTACTTTTAAGCCCTAGGGGCCTGTGTGTTTGTTTCTGTCTGTAAACAGATGGATTATGCACATTATATCCAGCTAAATCTTTAGAGAGATTAATGTTTACACCCAATTTTAATTGGGTTAGGTAAGCAAGACACAAAATGAACTCTGATGCTTAAGTAAGCTTTTTAGTTTGTATGTCTATCAAAAGAAAAAAACAACAACAACTACGCTACAATATCATTTTTACAGTTACAGAATGTCTTGTTTTGTGTCATTCAATGATTTGTATGCGAGTTGTCAAATACTTCCTGTTTCAGTACTGGTGAGTTTTTGACACCCATCCTGACATGATGCCCAGAGGACTTCAGAGTTTTTGTTCTCCGACAAAACGTCAACCTCAGAGAAGATCCGAGTTCGTTCCCACCAATTGATCTGCGTTTGACTTTACATTTGTCATTTCTCGCAGAGGTGCTGATGCCTGTTAGGAGGAAACTATTGGATGCTACAAGTACCATCTGCTTTCCGTCAGGGATGAAACGCTGAAAACAAGAATGACAAGATTGTCTCAAACGTTTAATACTAAATGACAAAAAAAAAAAAAAATGTGACAACAGTTTAGAAGAAGGAACTCGTTCGTTTTAGGGTAAATAAATAAACATTAGTATTTCAAAAGAGAACAAATTGTAGCTGTAAAAACATTTTTAAATGCAATGTTTCAAAGTGTAACACTGATAAAGGCGACAGCACCGGATTAGGGCAACATTCCAGGGAATCTCAGGGTTTTTTTCTCCACACATCTTCAGTCAGTTACTGTAAATAAAAAAAAATCCAACCTAAACCTACTTTAATGAACTGTGAAGGCATTTCATTTCCTGATGATGAACCTGCTGATGTCATGACATCATGACTTGGAGGATGTGGCGCTCTTCTTCATCAGACAAATGATACCCCGGGGGCGAAAAACCAAAGGCTATCGGGACACAGTCGGACCACAATCCAACGCTGCAGACGTTCCACTGCACTCTGTTAAAGGGACCAGCTTCGCTTTGTAGCAAGTCTTGGGATAAATTGGCTCTTTTATAGAGCAGCCAGAAAACATTAAACTCAACATTCCAGGGAGGTGTAGTGGTTCTGTTCGTGTCACACTTCATGACTTCATCTGGACTTTTGTTCGGGACTGGATCCGTGTGCATTTCGGACACCTTTTCCCCAGGAAACAGTCTTTGTGAAAGCAGGCCTTGCACACTGTGAAGACAGAAAACATGTTGCATGTGAATGCACAATCGGGAGTGATTTTAATAAGTAGTTATGGCTTAGACACATCTCAATGAATTGCAAAGCACTGGTAATTAAAATGCGCTGACTGTGTGGTACTAATAAATCCCATGAGCATTCCTTAGAGAATGTACCTTTACCTTAACTTTCAAATTTCCAAGGGAAGGATAAGGCTGATAAATCAAGTGATATTTCTCCGCTCCTTGAGAAATTCAACAGAACAAGTTTCCCTGCAATCCTCATAGCTTTTTGTTTTTCAATGACAGTATTGCTCTCTCACTTTCTTGCAGTCCGAATGAATTTCAGGCATGTCTCAACATGTTGTAGAAAACACAATTTTCCTAGAATTGTTTGTGGATTGTTGCCGAAGACTAAAGAGAAAACCTACAACATTTCAAATCTGACATTTTGTCTATCATTCTTCTACATTTCATGAAGAAGAAAGTTGTACTCATGTCTTCTTCAGAGGTCTGTGTGCTGCTTCCTTCAGCAGTTCTTGTTGCAGCGCCACCGCAGGCGAGGGGGAAAAACATGTTTGACACAACGCAGTGTGAGAGTGAACCACACCGGCTGAAAGTGAAACAAACGTTGCAATTTTGGCCCACAGTCAAACAGTCTACTGGACTTTCAGGCCAGAAAACACCCTTTTATAGTCTACTCCACTCACAGTGAACATCCACATTAAACTTTGACCTCATAGGGGTTAGCTTTAGTGTGTAGATTAGAAAAAGATCCTAACTGCCCTGTCATGCTTCAGGATCAATGTTTTTTTAGGTTATGTCTATCACGTGTCCTTGCTTACCTGGACATCGCTGGCATTTGTCTTTCTGAAAAGGAAAGATGATGTCCTTCGCTCGACAGAACTCGCAGATGAAGCCTCGGCCCCTGCACAGCTGCGGGGAAGAGGTTAGAGAAACTATCAGAGGGACCAGCTTCCACACAGCGCTTGACTTGAACCCGACTCTGCAATCATCATTTCATTCTTCACACTGAAGCCAAGAGCAACAGCACTGGTATCCAATTGAACTGGCTGATTGAACAGTCTTCCAGAGTGCCGGTCGGTGGGACCAACCTCACAGTTGTCGACATGCTCCAGAGCGGAGTTGAGCAGCGCTCGGGCCTGCGCCACCAGCTGACCCTTCTTCGCTCTATAGAGGTCCTCCATGGAGAAGAGCAGAGGCTCGTCCAGCAGGTGAGCAGGAAGTGGATCAAACTCGGCCAACGCCCTGCCGTCGAAACAGCATCGCATCAAAAACTGCTTTGGTTTCGGGCAGCCGAGGCTTCGGCTGCCCGAAACCTCGGGCAGCTCAGTATCACACATGTGAGATTTGAATCATTTTGGTTTGAATTTTGATCAAGCGATTCTACTTTACGTCACTTTGGCCCACCTGATTGCTTCTTCAAAATACAAAATAGCAATATGCCAGGAAGTGCAGACACATTTCTGTTAATTTCATGTTAAAATAAAGTTTTAACAGAGATTGTAGAACTGGTGCCTTTTTCACTTTCATGTAACACTTAACATAGCCTCTCACCAACACACATATATGCTGTTGTAGTACTTTATATCTGTTCAGATCAGGTCTGTTTTAAATGAAAGCTGTTGTCTCACAGAGTTTACCTTTGTAGAAGCCCAAAATAAGAACAAACTAAAAGTCTTTATAACAAAATTATCATTCTTCAATCACTGCATTCTTTCCAAAAATATAAATATCTGTCAAAAAAGAAAATGTATTATTGTACATTCCTTTGAATTTACAATAATGATAATTGTATTTCTTAGTTTAGTTTATGATTCTGAATAAGTTTGTGTGCTGAAGATTTGGAATAGAGATGTTTAAAAAAAAGAGTCCTCTAAACTTAAAAAAACCAAACTGTTGTGTGTCTCATGAGCCCTTAATTACTCAAAAACGAAAGTAAAAGTTTTATTCATTGTGCAAAGAAACCCAAGAAATGAGTAGAAACTCAAAAGTTTGCAATTGAGTTGACTTGAGGGAAACACACACCATTTTATACATGTGATGAAAAAATATTTGAAATATCAAAATTACAGCATCTATAGACACTTTTTAGGGTTATATTTTTGAGAGAGGAGAGAAAAAGGTCATCTGAACATGAGACACCAACATCAAACAGAGTTGGTTCCCTCAACTCTTCACTCGTCTCTGTCCCACAATCATTCTTCAGCCGCTCACACCCTCAGTCATGAAAATCACAGATTGCATTACGTATGTTCAGTATCGTACCTTTCAGATAATCTGCAGGCTCTCAGCAGCTTCCTGATTCCGACCAGCTGCTCCCTCAGCTCCTGAGGGGACAGACATTTTTTCATGTTTTGCAGCGTTTTTGCAATACATAAAATATGCATATATGTTTACCAACGCTGAAAAGACTCACCCTGAACCTGTCCAGGTCTTTCACTTTGCTCCACAGAGCCTTTCCCACAGAGCTGAGGTCAAACAGAGGCTGAGACCAGACCGAGTCCAGCAGCTGCTTGGAGAAGTCGCTCACAGAGTACCTGCAACGTCAGACCAACACGATACGCCATGGTTTTAAAACCACTCTGTTCTCGAATCCAGGAAACGTCATAGAAATTTGTTCTTGGAGTTCTTTGCCAACTGGGTTTTCACAAGCAACCAAAACTACACGTATTTTTAAAACGCTGATCATTCAACCACTTCTTCATATCAGACCAAACGAAATACACAAAATGATGTTCGTGTAATTTCATGTTTTCATTTTAATAGTAAAGTGTCTGCCTGCATTTGGGATGTTTAGAAACATCAGTCTAAAAAATTAAAAATAAGAGCTAATCAACTCAAACAGATGAGAGCCAGTCATTAGGAAAATGCTTTAATACAAAACATTCACAACATAATTTGTATTCAGATATATTAAAATAATAGATCAGCAGTTTTAGTCTCTATTTTGTTGTGCTTTCTACCAAAGCCGTCGACTGAAAAGGTTACGAAACTGGAGAGTAGTAGGAAAATGTAACAGAGTGACATAACTAAAGTTTATGGGGGAAAAAATTTACAGAGTTTTTTTTGTAGCAATATTAAAATATAATGCTTCAGGTGTAACAAAATGTATTTATTTTTTTGATTAGATAAAATTCAGTAATACATTCAGGCTCCACCGCTCCAACAATATTAATAAATGCTTCTTCTAGAATCACATTGAAACAATAAAGCAAATGTCAGACATATCATCAGCAAAAGCAGTCAGTCATTTTAGTATTTTGGCTGTGATGCATTGTTTTTATCATTAATTTGTGTTTTGTTTTTTTACCTGCTAAAGTCCCAGTTGGACAGAACTCGACCCGGAATAATTGCCTCTGACCCACTGTGGCAGCAGTCACAGAAATATCTGTCAAAAAAAAAAAAAAAAAAAAAAAAAAAATCAGAAATAATTAACAATGACATCATCATAATAATGATAATAAAATATTTTAATAACATCTTTTGCGCACCTCCCCAGATATTCACAGTGCCGCAGCTTCTTGATGTATCCTGGAAGCAGAAGAAAAACTGACTCAGTTTTCAATCGATCAACTTGAACATTCGTTTCTCATCCAGCACTAAGTCGGGATTTGATTTTAGCTCACTGATGCTACTGAATCTGAATTGGTGCCACACGTAAAAAGCTACATACTGATAACCATAACGGTCCAGTCCTCTAGTTTCTGTCATGATTTTTATTTTTATTTTTTTTGGAGTTTAATGTAAACTTGTTGAATGAGATTTTGCAGAAAACAAGAAACACATTAGCATTAGCTTAACACCTGCAAGATACGATCTAATCTAAGCTGGAATTAATTATTCCTCACATTTTTTTTGTGGACTGGTGAAACGTCTGTTCTATTTGTAAAAACAAAAAAAGAAAAAATCTCAAAATTGCTAGGATCTTGTTCTTGTTCACCCGGGGGCGGTGTCATCAATTACACACGTCTGCTGAGCTTGACGCCTTTTTTCACTCCTACAACGTGGGCATATCAGTTAATTGTTCCCTCATTCTGTCCCTCAAACATAAATAACCCCCTCCCAAAAAAATAAAATAAATCTGAATTCGTTGTCGTTGACACTCACTGGGCTCCACCTCTGTCCCACAGCCCGCACACAGGTAGTGTTGTGAGGCTACCACCTCACTCCGTCTACAACAGGGAGTAAAAAGGTTATTTAACATCTGATCACATTTCCTAGATGTTTTTTTTTTTTTTTTTGACATTTTGTGTCTGCTCAGAAGGGATCGTGACCTGTGTGGTGGCTGGACAGAGAAAATGATCTGGAAACTCGGTGGTGCCCAGTTAAGGGATCCTCTCATCCTGGTCCTGAGTCGGATCTCCTCCGTTAAACTCCGAGTCTTCACCTCCACTCCCCCAGTACCAGGTAACTAGTGGTGACCAATGGAAGAGTGTTCATGGTTCTATTCATACTCCCATTACAACAATTAAGATTTTCAAGCACATCAGAAACTCATGGGCTATGAAAATGTAACACAAACCGGAAATGAAATAACTAAACACAAATCAATAGTGACTTTAAGCATAGTTGATGGAACTCAGAAAGTGATGGACGCTTCATGGTTCCGTAGACTCAGTTCCATTGGGGACCAAAATTGCAACATTTGTTACATTTTCTGCTGCTGTGGTTCGCTTTCACACTGCATTGCATCAAACCAACCAAACTAATTGAAAAACCTGTTCCCTTCCTCGTCTTTGGTGGAACCACTGAAGGAGATGACACTCACAACTTCCTTCTTCACGAAATGTAAACAAAAATGGAGTAGCAATACATTTTAGCGGTTGTACAATTTCTCTTTTGTCTTTGGTAAAAAAAAAAAGGAGAAAAAAAAAAGCTGTTTCTGGCAGCAGACGTTTTTAGGCGGACCAGAGTTTGATTCACACCTCTGCAAGCGAACCAGACTTTCTAGACAAACGAACTAGAGTTTGATAAAAGCGAACTAAACAGCGCTGGTGTGTAAATCTTTACTTACTCAAATTTTGATGCCCATGGTCAGTTTGCAAGAAACAAAAACCCAAACTTTTTGGCTCTATAACTGCTAAATTTTCACCTCTTGCAGTGAACTACGGAGACTTTGCCGTCCTCGCCGATGCACGTGGGAAGGAAGCCACTTCCTTTTGAACTCCAGCACCAGCTGCTGGGCCAGGCACTCTGCACTGCTGGTGAAACACCATATAAAACACATTCAGATTCAATGGGTCAAATGTATGCTGTGGATTGAGCTGAAGATAAAGAAAATGTCTCACTTTCTGACCAAATCTGGTGGCATTGTGCCGACCCCACAGTCTGAAATTGAAGCACATGTTTCCTTATTAATAGAACAACACTTAAAAATGAAGCGACATGTAATACAGGAAGTCATGTTGGTTCTCTATGCTTGGTTTTATGTTCAACATGTCTGCATGTTGGTTCCCTTTGAAAACAGATCATCAGATCAGATTAATTTATTGCAAATTTACAGCCTACTGCGGTTCCTGTTTCTGCTCAGAAACACGGCCGCGGTCTTCATAAATCTGTTAAGGAAGTGAGAGCAACGACATCTGATTATTTTATATGATGGGGAACTGCGTTGTGCAGCAGCCTGCGACGTGAGCCGTCATTTAGAAGTGAAAACATAGAATACTTAGAAACTGTTTGTCACGGCCTTTGGGTGGTTTGTTTCTGGAGCACACTTCTGACTTGATTAATACACAAAGTTTACTTTTTTGGCACAAAGTACAAACAAAACAACAACTAAATCTGTCTTACAACCTGCATGTAAACGAAAGTTTCTTTTTTTTTTTTTTTTCAAAACCTTTTGTTGTCACACCACCAGACACTTGACAAACAAAATAATCTCCACCACGCCGGTTGGTGTGTTTTTAATTTCTTAAATTAATTGGAAGGTCTAAAAGTTATCAATTAGTTCCAAGCTAAAATAAGTATATTCTAGCTGTCTAAAAAAATAAATAAATAAATAACTAAATTGATGGCATTTATGATTTACAAAATAAATAAATAAATAAATCAACATAAATGGCCTCGGCTCTGCTTATTGAAGGGAGACATGAATATTTCCTGCAAAATTGAGCAATCAAAACCAGTTCTGCCACGCTGAGGTCTCCCCCTGCTGGTTAATAAGCAGAATACACATTCACCCTGTGAGTGGATTCCTGATGGCTTCATCAAGTCTGAGGAGAATTTTGATTTAATACGAGTAACAACTACATTTAATTTCCCTTCGGGATAAATGAAATATATTTGAATTACATCTTTGTTTATTAGAACGCCTCTTTTCTCAGGAATTTTTTTAAATAATCTGTTTCTAACACTGGGATAAAACACTGTAAGGTAAACAGGTTTTTACCTTCAAACCCGCTGTCAGTAGAAAGGATTGACGGACTCTTAGTTTGGTGTTCACTGTGACCAGCCTGTGGTTCCTGTGGTTCTGCGCCCCAGTCAGTCCTCGCGTCGCACCGTAGAATCCTGCGGTTCCAGCCGCTGGACCCGTCGGAACCGTGTGCGCGCGCCGGTTCGCGCCCCTCGTAGCCCGGCTGCCCGGTCGCGCACGCGGTGCAGTGTTTGTACGTCATGGAGTCGAAGCTCAGGGTCCATTTGACGCCTTCCAGGACCTCCAGCGTCATGTCCACCACGACAAAGTGAGCGTTCTCCTGCACAACCATCAGAGACAGCCGCGTAAAAGGCAAACTCTAACTTCTGCTTGCCTATATCACCAAACTGGTTCTTCGAAAAATATTTTTTGCTTTTTAATATTTGTGACTTTTTCCAAGGAATTTGCTGCCTTGTTCCACAGACCTAGCAAAACATTATGCAGCGTTTGGTTTTGACATACAGCGAATGTTCGCTGAACATTTAATAGTTCTTTTTTTTGGCATCAAAATGTCAATACAATGTATAGAAAGGGGAGAAGTGAAAAAAAAAGAAAAAAAATGGTACTTCATTTTGGAAAAACGTCGGCGGACGTTGACGATGTCAATCAGAGGAATACGTCTGAACGTTCAATGCTTGATGAGTCATTTAAAATCTAATGTATTTAAAAGTGATACTCTGGGCGAAAAGGAGGAGGCAGAGCAGGGGGAGGGACAAAATGCCATTATGGGATTAAAACATAAAGTATTATTATTATTATTATTATTATTATTATTATTATTATTATTATGTTATGTGAAAGCATTGCCACAAGGTGGCGACGTTGGTTAAGGATCCTACAGAACTCTTCCAGTGGTGAAGACATGTTTTAAAAGAAGGTTTTGGTCATTTTAAGAGTGTTTTAGGCTTTAAAGATCTACAAATGTAGATGAATGATTGCAAAAGCCGTGAAATCATAATGGCAGACCTTTTCCAGCTCACAGCTAGCCTTAAAGATGTCCGGAGGTAAATCCAGGAGTTCAGAGCAGCTTCTGTCTTTGTTGTGAGACGTTGAGGAGGAATGGCCTGACAAAAAACAGATAAACACACATTAAAGTTCTGCACTCTCACTAATATTGGTAAGTTTTTATGTTAACCGTGAAAATGTCTCAGGTTTTCTTAAGCTACACTTATTTCTCAGATGTATGACGGGTGGGTGACATGGACTTAACTTTTTACCACTATTGTTTTGTGGTAAAATTATTACAATAAGACCTGTTTCTGACGTCATAACATTTCAAACACAGAAAAAAAAAATCTCATTTTGATTGGTCCTTGTTTAGGACACCGATCACATGAACAAACAGTGGGAAAAAAATATTAAACTTTAAAAATCTCTACAATGAAAGCCGTTATTTTTTCCCCAAACGTAATTAGTTGGAATTCATTGTGACAATGATAAATTTAAATTCTCATGTAAAGAAATGTATCACAATAACTGATCCGATAAAAGCCAATTTCCCTATAATTTGAATGAAATGTTTTTATGTTTCACTATTATGCTAATAGTTAATTATTTTCACTGTTAATACACACATTTTCTCGCAGTTATAAGGTGTGTTTACACAGAAGTTAAACTTCAAGTTAAACTTCAACTCAATACGCATGACACTAAAAAGAAAAAAAAAAGGTAAATGAAATCCAAAACTCTCATGTCAAGTTTTGCTGGATGATAAATTGTCCCAGAAGTTATCGTGATACACAATAATATTGCTGTTTTGAGGTGATTTTAAGATAATACTATGCACGTATACTTTCTCAAAGATCAAAACACTTTAATTTTTAATTATTTGCTCTGCGTGACATCCTTCATGCCTACAGCTATCACTTTCTACAGCAACTCTTTGAAGAGTCTTGAATAACTTGAGCTTAATTTGAGTTTTAATTTTCCTTTGAGATCAACAAATATTTTTTTTGAATTTAAATTTAATTTCTAACATGCATTTAACTCTGGAAGTGGAAGACATTTTAAATATCCAAATTACAACCAAAACAACAAATGCAGTGAATACTGAACTCTCTGTGAACTTAACTGGCCTTCATAAAACAGGCTAGTTGATGCAAATGCATCAGACTGAAACCTTTTGTCATCCAACCTTTGGTAGAAGAAGACACTCAAGACAGACTAACTAGCACACAAACAGAAATTAGCAATCTTGTTTTAATTTATCACGCGGTGAACTGATTTATTGCTCATTATGGTACCTGTCCTTTTGGGGGTGCTCCAGCTGTTTAGGCTCCATCCTCTGTGCTCCTTCTCAGATCGCTGAGGGCTTCTGCTGGATCGGTCCTGGCTCTGCAGGATGCTGATGGAGCTCGACGATAGAGGAACACGCGGCTTCTTATCCTCCACCATGGTTTCGAACGATTGGTGACAGGAAGTCAGCCGGGGCTCCACGTCCTCCTTACCGGTAGATGTCACACACTCATGCTGGTCACATGAACTGGGAGAACAAGGGGAGGAGTCCATGCTAGGAGGAGCACATTTTAAGAATTATTATAAAAATATGATAGTTTCAACTACAATTGTCCTGAATGCAGGTTTGTGTAGTAACTGAATTAGGTATTACATTAAGAAACTCAGAGAACAAAACAGATATAAATGTCTACCCAAGGGGAACCCAATCAAGCTAGCATGTATGTTTTTGTTCTCGGGGAGGAAGTTGGGATTACCCAGGGATAACCAATCCTGCATCGCTTATTTCTGTTCACTGATGCAGAGATACGCGATATTTTGTAAGTTAAATGCTCATAAAATCATATCAAAACTAAAAAGGAGACATGCTGGCATTACAATAGCATAGCAACACATGGAACATGCCAGGCAACAACTATCTCACCATGTTGTCTTTGCTGAATGCAGGTTTTCATCTGAGGAACATGAAAAATTGATTCTGTTTGGCAGTAAAAACACACAACTGACACATCTTCAGCTCTGTTTTTTTGCATATTTTAGTTTTAGTTTGTCTTCTGTCTTTCATTTCTTGTTGCAGTTTTAGGCGGTTTCTGAACTTTAAGTTTAGTCTCCTGCCACATTCTTTTTATCTTCACACGGGAAACATACAACTACTTTTCTGAATACCAATTATAGTACTCAAGTTTTTAGAAGTTTTCCATTTGCTTTGCCGTTCGGGGGATTTACCCAGCTGTAGAGGAACTGAAGCTTGACTTAGAACATATTCATCAAAGATAAAGTAAGAGCCAAAAACATTTGATTCTTGGGGCGAGATAAATAAGAGAAGAGACAGAACAAGCTGTACTTCTTGTGGAAGTTTTTGTACTTCGGTGTTTGCAGCAAAAAGCCCTGAGACTGCTTCACAACAACAGCTTCTTTAGTCAGAGGCTCAATCAGAACCGAATCGAATTGAAATATAATAATGTTAGCTGTGTTGATTTTTAAGTGATGATCAGAAATAAAGCTAACAATGTTAACCATCTATCATTGCACTGCAGACAGGGACAACAGTAAGTTAGAAAAGTTGCATTTGACTAACTTCAAAAGTAAAGGAAGTATGTTAAAACATGCTTTATTGTTAATAATAATATTTCAAATTGTTTGTTGGCTTATGGGAAACTAATTAGGCAGATCTATATTAGTTATAGATCAGAAGTGTCAAACTCATGAGTCATATCTTGTCTTATAGTGTAATTTATCATTGTGTGGGTAAATGAGCCTACATGTACCAATGTGTGCTCGTGAGAAATTGACTTTGACATTTTTAGGTTATCCAAATGGCATCAAAATCCTTTATGACCCAAGAGAAAGAGTTTTATGCATGCACTAATTGACAATAATTGAGCATTTTTCACCTTTAGCATGTAATTTAAAGTTAGAGATAAAACAAGAACTGTTTCTAAGTGACACACACAGAGTTTGTCTTGATTCTAACGCGACCCTTTAACCATTTTGGACAAGTACTGCTTAAAACTTCAGATACATACATATGAGCTGGTACTTTATGTTGTTCTGCAAAATAACAAATTATTTAAAAGAAAAAAAAAAGAAAATATTTGAGAAAATGCTTAGAAAATGTCTCGCCACAAAAAAATATCAAGAAAACATATGTTATATAGCCTATGTTGTCCAAAACTAAGATCAGCCAGTTTAAAGGTTGCATTGCAGATCATTTCACAGGTGGAGTTTCACCAGAACATGAAAGTCTCTCTTCCTCCTCTCAATACTCAGGAATAACGTCGACCTCGTTTGTTTGCTATCCCAGTTCCTGTTTCTTGACCGACTGTGGGCAGACACAAAACTTTCAGGACTGCCGATTAATCCAAAGCATCAGAATCAGTGTTTATGATTGCTCGCTAAGCTAGCAAGTATGAATAGCTTATTGTCATAGCTATTGTCATAGCTGTGAGCAGCTAAGCTAGCTCCAGTTCATCCGAGTAACTTTCACCTTTGCCTGTTCAGATGTTCTCTGCTTATTGGTTTTTATGCATTTCCATTTATTAGTTTTCACTTACAAAACAGATGTCCAGGCCTGAAATAATCATTTAGTTTACCCTTTAGAATATTTGTAAAACTCACCTGGCTAGGCTACATTTGGTTAAGTGTTGAAAAATGTAATTTTACTGAAATAATATTAAGATGTGATTGAAAGGTGAAACAATTTACATTAAGACAACAATAAATGTCTAAATGGGATTAGTGTCTAAAATCTCTTGGAAACCCATAGACACTATCTTCTTTCTAACTGATGCTATACTCTGTAATCATTTTGTTTTTCCTTTTAAATTTGGGTAAAATCTTGATTCATAGTCTTTTCACAGAAGACTTGAAAAGAATTTCAGTGCTGTTCTTATATTGTCTTGGGAGATCCCTAAGGAAACATAAGTCTTCTGAAATTGGCATTGCTTTGTGTGTTTGGACAGAAGTTGCGTACAGTACCTTAATGAATTAGACGGACTGGCTGCCTTTTTCTGCCAGGAGATGGGCTTGCTGCGCCTGGAGATGACTGGACTGCTCCTGTGTAGGGGAACTTTTTCATCCTTGCAATGGGAAGGTTCCTCCTTGTTTGCCATAGCGTCTTGTAGAAGTTTGGAGTTCCTATCGTGGTCTCTGAGTTTGCTGTTCTCTGGGATTTGTCTGGAATTTTTGGAGATTTTGGTGCATTTCCTCCTTGTGAGTTGTTTTCGTGGATACGGAAGATCAAACACAGTATTTGTTTCTTCTCCACTGGGTTCTTGTGTTGACCGAACCAGAGATGCGACGCGAACTGAACTGGTCGGCTCCTGGCTCTGGTTAGAAAAGGCCTCTTTTTCTCCTAACAGGAAGCCAAAGCGGAAACAAAAGGACAAATATTTATCTCAAACTTGAGCAAAACACAAAAACTTAAGCTCCTTTGTTTTTTTCAAAGGTCTTCAAATGAAAATGCTAATCCTTGCATAGCACTCTACTGTCATTTCGGTTTTAGTCTACTACAGGAAGTCTGAGTTTAGTGTGAGTTTTGCCCAATGAATCCTCTCTGATTCTGTCTTAAGAGTATGCGGACGCTCACCTGTGCCTGGTGCAGGTCCAGTTGAAGGTCGCCAGGACTCTCCAGAGTCCATGCTCCAGCTGACATAGCCAGCTCTGTTTGGAGACGATGACAGGTCGTCGCAGTTTCCCATCTGTGTGGAGGACAGAGACAGTTTCCTAATCACAGCAGCTTTGCCGCAAGCGTCCTTTTGAAACTCTTACGTTACAACAGCCATCTTTAAATGTCCCCACTGCCTCAGAAGCATGAAATCCTCCACTTATGTACAACCTGTTGGTGTGACAACTTTCCTACTTCTTGCTTCCTGCTTGCCAGGAGATTTATGGGCCTGGCGGCAGCAGCTGTTTCTCGATAATGCAACAAACACCCTTTTGTCTCTCAACACTCTGAGTCCCAAGTCTAAAGGTTGCAATATTGATGTCAACTTCAATTTTTATGGAGGTCATAGCTTCCACGGGAGATTTTGAATGCAATTTAGCCTCCGTAAATCTAATACCAGAACTCCCTGAATGGAGCAACAGATTACTTTCTGTCATTTAGCAACAAGCATGGACATCAGCAGTGACTTGCTGATGTCCTGACATTTTGGCAAGTCAAAATGTCAGCTACATAGTTCACAAGTGATGCTATTTACACATCTAATTTGTTGGGTACTGGGTTTTTTATTTTTTTTTGAGCTTGTGTTTTAAGTTCTCACATGAAAAACATTCTTAAAGTTCAGATTGATCTGTTCATGTGACAAACAAGAGAACATCATTTTTTTTTATTTTAAAGAAAACGATTTAGTTACAAACACCAACATGAGTCTTGTTTAACTCATCAAAAGAATGTGTGTGGTTACTGACGAAACAGAACACCACAAACCCACGTAGCTCGTCTTCATTTTGCCCTTCGTTTGAAATAACTTCAATGAGTCGCTACTTGTGGACGTTTTATAAATCTCCAACGCTAGCCGGAAGAAAGCTTGCCCCACTCCTCACTTTTACTTGTGAGAAGTTTGAGGGGTTTCTGACTCATTCACCCCATTTCAAGTCACCCACAGTTACAGACTCGGAGCACAAAACTATTCCTGTCACATTCCAGTAACTGGGATGTTTTGAGTAATTTTTATGTCTCGGGGTAATATTTTTGTAGATTATAGTAAACTTCTCCTCTGGCATCCAGATAATTACATTTTAAACTCATTTGTCCTCCATGGAATATTTTTGAAAGATATTTTTTCTGAAGCTCTTTCTGGTTTCACGTGTCTTTCTTGATGAGCTGAAGTTTCCGTTTTGCTCACCTTCAGTGAAAGCTACTCTTGTCAGCTGCTTTCTGATTGTCCACGCATTAATTGACATTTCAAAGATTCTGTGTTGGAGACATCTTTTAGCATCTTGTGGTCTGCTCTGGGAGTAAACTTTCTTGAACGCACAGATCTGGATATGTTGTGGACTGGGTTCAGTGAAATTGCTGATTTTCAATCGTTTTGAGACTTCCCTAATTTTTATGCCCCACCTTCATAAGCTGGTACAATCTTCTTCCGGGTGGTCTCACCCAACTCCTTAGGCCCTACCATGCTCTTTAGTCTCACTTCAACCGTCAGGAGCACACCAAGAGCAAACAGAGCTGCTTTAAAATAAGTTTTAGTAATGTAATTTTTATTGATAACAAAGCTGTTTGTTCAGCACAATTCTTTCTTTTATACAATACGGTATTTTAGAAAAGCTAAATTTATAGATATCAGTAACAACAGATTGACGCCCTCTATGCCGGTGATGTTTACTGTAATTTTATGTAACCATTTCTTACCATTAGTGAACATTTAGAAACTAAGCTTACCAGCAGATTCAGTTTTCATGCAGATGTGGTTTGTCTGTTTCTCGTCTTCATGAAGCTTGTTACTCTTTCTACAGGAAGTGAATGTGAATGGGAGGAAGGCTGATCAACTTCACATACTTAACGTCCATAACACCACGCTACTATATATAGATATATCTATATATAGATATATCTATCTATATATATCTATATATATCTATATCTATCTATCTATCTATCTATCTATCTATCTATCTATCTATCTATCTATCTATCTATATCTATCTATATATCTATCTATCTATCTATCTATCTATCTATATCTATCTATCTATATCTATCTATATCTATCTATCTATATCTATCTATCTATCTATATCTATATCTATCTATCTATCTATCTATCTATCTATCTATATATATATATATATATATAGATAGATATATATATATATATCTATCTATATATATATAATATATATAGATATATATATCTATATCTATCTATCTATATATATATATATATATATATATTAGATAGATAGATATAGATAGATATATATATAGATAGATAGATAGATAGATATAGATATATATAGATAGATATAGATATAGATAGATAGATAGATATATATCTATCTATCTATCTATCTATATATATATATATATATATTATATATATATATATATATATAGATATAGATAGATAGATAGATAGATAGATAGATATAGATAGATAGATAGATAGATATATAGATAGATAGATAGATATAGATAGATAGATAGATAGATAGATATATCTATCTATCTATCTATATATAATGTATATATATATATAGATAGATAGATAGATATATAGATATATAGATAGATAGATATATAGATATATAGATATATATATATAAAATGCATGAGCGCTTTTTGAGCTCAGCTAATTAAACATGGCCTCCATCTTCCAGAGTCCACTAAATCTGATGTTTTTACCTGGAACAAATGTCCACAATCAAATTCTGCGTGAGGCCCCATCCAACCTTAACATGGCCCTGGTAGTGTTTTTGAGTCAGTCTGACTGTAACTCTCTACTCAAAAACAAAAACTGTTTTTTTTTCTTTTTCAAGCCACATATGTGGCAACAGCACATCAGTTTGTCCAAAAAAAGAGAGAAGAAGGTGCCGTTTTTATGTCCTTGTTGTTTTCCTGAGACAGAAAATAATCTCACATGGATAGCACTTATCTTCTTCAAACTTGTCCATCAGCTGGAGATATGACTCCGTCCTCTCTGAGTGACCTTTGAGTCCATCTTGATACAGGACCCCACTCTGTCCTTTTGACTGTTAGCATAAGTAGTTATAACTAAGGTATTTAGGAAGCTGTCGTTCATACAGTCAAAAATATTGCCTGATACTTTCAGTTGCAATTCCTGTTGTAATATTCAGACATTAGAGACAGAACGAGGTGTGAACAATATGAAGGACCGGATCCATCCTGTCATGTCTCAGCGTTTAGAGGTTTTGTTCCCGGTGGTGTAATGGAGTGAGGAATATTTTTTGGCACACGTTAGAATCATTAGTACAAATAGAACCGCACAGACTACCTAAATATTCCTGCTGACCAACTCTATGGCTTTATGACCACATTGTACCCATCTCTTGAAAGTTAGAATGATGCACTAAACCAATCTCCAAATCATCTCATATTAATTTCTTGAACACAATAATGGGTTCTCTGTACTCCACTGTCCTCCAAAGTCACCAGACCTCAGTCCAGTTGAACTCCCTTTGGATGTGTTGCAATGGGGGCTCGCATCATGAACGTGTAGCAAGTGCATGATGCTGTCACATCAACTTGTTGAATCTAAGCCACAAAGAATTAAAGGGGTTCTGGAAGGAAACAATGGATCCGACTCTGCAGATATAATGAGCACATGTTGTTGACTTTCCTGCACCAAATGCTGACATGGCATTTCAAGCTTTAAAACTTTAAAAGTTCATTGGCGAAAATTCAGGCTTTATGTCAAACAACAGAATGTAGAGAAAATCTAAACTTTCTGTGGTAGAGTCACCGTTTGACTTAACAGATGTGACATTTAGTCTCTTTTCAGTAGCAGAAGCCGCACTTCACGGCTTCCTGTACGATTTCAGAAGTCAACTGCGATTGTGAAGTCAACTGCGATTGTGAATGATAAGATCTTTAAAAATATCCTTTTTCTGTTTAAAAACCAAAAAAAGGAGGAGAAAAAAACCTGTACGTCCATCCCAGCAGAGGGCAGCTGCTGCCCAGCACCCAACACGTCGTCCCCGGATTACTCACCGTGCCGCGGACTCCTGACGTATGGCTATGAAGAAACCCCGCTAGGGTCCAGCGAGACAAACCCGCGACGCTGCTTATCCACCAAAAGCTGCTGAAAGGAAGGCAGGCGGTTGATTAGCACTTCCTGTATTCAACACTGCTTGTGTGCCTTCTGTGGTTGAACACTTAGTAATGTCTTCCCTGACAGGAGAGAGGCCAGAAAGCCTTGTACTCTGCTTTCTGTTGGGGTAATGACACTCGCTACAAATATTCCAACAGGTACGTGGGCTGATTAGAAAAAAAAAAATCACCTCTTTAAGATGACGTTATCTGACTCATCTTGAATGTAAATGTTAAAATGACAGGAAACAGCCTCGGTGACATCGAGACAGGGTTCTACTTTAGAGGTTAAGATTTCTTTGAAAACCTCAGATCAAGTGACGGTCTTTGTTCAGCAGAAATGCCAGTCAGTACTCAGTGGGCATGGCGAGCCTGGCAGCCTCATCTGCTGTCAGCAGTTAGGAAGGAGGAAGCTCTGTTTATGCCAAGCATCGATGGTTTTCGATTGCATGAATTTTTTTTTTTTTTCCAGATTCAATTTCTATGAGAGGAACTGCATCTCGGTAGTCCCACAGAGGGTTTCCATGGAGACCGTCGTGTGAGTTTGTGTAGATCCTCAGTAAATCTGCACACTTACGGTCAATTTTAAGAATAATGAGGTCACCGTTGTGATGGAAATTTAGACATTTTTAAAAAGGAGAAGATGACAAGATGAAAATGTTCCCTGCAAAGGCAGGATGGTTTTGGGAAGTGAGAAAATGATCAGTGAAAAGGGAACATCCAGATCAATAGACGATTGTTTTGGGAAATAGTTTGAGAAGGTGTTCACAAGATGGAGGCCAACATTTTAGAAGAGAACCTTTCCGGATCTTAGATATTGTTTTTAGTCGTGTTATGTGTTTTCAGAAATTGTAGGTCTAAGAAAATGTTCTTGGGGATATTTTAAGAAAAGGAATGGCAACATGCAAGACTATTATTACTTCATTAGTTTTGAAAAAATCTGTTATAATCTGTTACATCTTCAGGAAATGTTTTATGAAAAAGGGAGAGCGAATACTGAATTTCAAAATATGGCCTCCGAACAACTATAATAAAGTTCTGCATCGCTGTAGCTGGAGTCAAACAGTGGAACAAACTGAATATGGAACTAAAACAATGTCCAAGCATCAATAAATACAAAGACATGACATTTGTTTTGTGCAGAAATATAAGTTTTTTTTTCCCTTCCTTTCTTCTGTGTTACTATTATTACTGTTGGTAGCTTATTGCTATCTTATTATATTTGTTATTATTAGTTTTTTCTCTGTGTGTTAGTTTTGCACTTTATTGTGGCATAACACAGATTAAGAAGAATATATAGTTGTTCATTGGGAAGAAGTTGGTAATTATTCTGATGCTGTAACTCCAGTTGATATTTACAATTGTCATTATTACTGTTATTATTGTCCATAGATTTTCTTGTCTGATGAGAGTTACTTTGTTACCATTTTGTCTATGTAGTGTAATATATGTGGTGGTTCTTTAGCCCAGTGTATCGAACAGGCACATGAGTATTATGACATGATTTCAATTGCAAATTTTTTTAGCATTATTGATTTGGTGAGTGATATAGTTCATTAAATAGAAATGAGGAGTAGGACTAAATAAGTGTTCACTTCTTCCTACTCTTTTTCAAACAGAAAAGAATCGGTGAGCTAATTGTTTTGTTCTTGGTTACGTTTCCTCTGTCCTACTGATCGCTTGTTTTCTTGTTTTTAAAAGCCTGTTTGAAACAAATAAACCAAAAATAACAGATCTCGACATTTTGAAATAAAAGTACATATAAAATGTACTTTTAACTTGAAGAAAGTTTCCATTAATGTCCAACAGATTTTTATTTATTTGTTTGGAAAATTCAGCCTGATCTGAAAAGCAGGTCAACATCAGAGTTATTGTGCAGTGCATAATGTCAGTGAACATCGTCACAGCTGCGGTGGTGGAGAACTCGGTGATCAGCAGTGGTAACATGCTGACCCGTGCTTGTCATGGAATCAGCTGACTCAGCTCTAACACACAGACACACTGCTAGCAAATAAAGGCTTTTTACTCACAAACCAGTTACATTTATTTTCTCTATAGAAATGCTCTTCACCTACTTCTACACTTTTAAGTCCATCTGAAAATCTTACTGTTTTATTCTGAAATGCAGGTATTTTTTTTTTCTATTATTTCACTGAGGAGATGGAAATGTAAATGAGATTTTTGCCTTTCAGTTTGTCACCTACACTCAACTCTCCCACACTACCTCTCGCAGCTTGTCATATTTCTGATAAAAACGGGCGATTAGAGAGCGAATGACACTTTGTTAGTGTCATTTTGCTCCTTTTTTTTAATGCATAGTATTTCTTTCCCGTGACATCACGGTTTTGAGTTTCCTACATTAAGGCCATTACAGTGGAAGAAAAAAAAACAACCCTAAATTCAAGTGAGTTTGGAGATTCAATGTGGGTTTTATCTGATTAATTTGAATATTTATCAGAGCTATAAATGTGCTTTAGACATTTAGGGATAAAACTACCAGTGCATTAACTTGTATTGCCTATGCCCTGAGGCAGGAGGAAGGCATTAGTGGTACAAAGACAAACATTAATACTAACACAGTGATGAGAAACTGAAATATGGTGAGAAAAGCCATTTCATAATATATACATGTAATTTAAAAGCATTTAAATAATTAGAGTACATTTATCCTTAAGCTGAATGGGCTACAGTAAAGTTTTTGGAACTGGATCACTGGTAATTTGGATGTGATTTAATTTAAAGATATGGTGACCTTCAGCTTTTTAACATAAAGTGACTGACACTGAATGATCACGATATCTTAGAGTTGAATAAATAGCTCTCTAATCAAAATCTATTGTATTCATACATGCTTGACAGCTACTATGTTCATAAGTTTCAAAGTTTCACTTTGACTCCTCCAAACTTACAGCCAAATGGTTCAATCATTGTCTGCCATATCCATAAACATTTATTATGCCCTTTCATTTTATTGTGGGACTTTCATGGTGTTGTCTCGGCCAGAACTCTCTCAAGTAAAATTTGGCATCTCAAAAGGTACTATCCACGTCAAATTAAAATGAGATAAAATGTAACAGGAGTTGAAAATTCACATTTTCCACTTACATGGTAAATTTGACCACTTGCAATATTGTGAGCCAAATCTTTCAGAAATGAATTTACTAAATCTGGAGCTAAAAAAAAGAAGCTATGAGTCAATACTTTTTCCCAAGTATTCTTGGTAATACTTTGGTAATCGAGCTAAAAGTCATGTGGGATTAATAATTGTTACCACTGAAACTCAAGAACCCAGTTTTGTTTAGATAACTTACAATTGTTTACTCAGTGTTGTTCTCCTTTCTTGTCGAGATTTATAGCACTGTTTCTGGTCAAGTTTTAGACATTTTTGTCCCAAGTTAAATATTATTAATTAATTTGTGTTATTGACTAATTAATTTGTTACGGTACTTCTTTATTTTTTTGTACACATTTACTTTAGATTGTTATTATTTTTTATTATAATAGTAATAATATAATTAGTGGTGGTGGTGGTTTTGAGACCACACTTTTTTGTATATTTTCATTTATTTTTTTCTATCACATCGTCTGTCGCTGTCCGAGAAGCTTCATACTTTTTCACCAGCAGAGGTCGTTGTTTACCAAGTAACTCGATTTGGAGCTTTAACGGTCCTGCTTTTGAGGCGATGAAAGGTCAACTGCGCAACCGTAATGAGTAAAATCAATATAATTCCAATTTAAATCTAAAAAGTAGTTTGTCTTCTAAATAGAACCTGTTGTGTGAGTAAATAAATATTTGGTCTGACGTTTTTCCACCTTTAAAAGACACAAGAGGAATACCGGAACGTGTCTAAATTATGAGAAATATCAATTCTCTGACATAGTGCTGAACTTGTATGAAACAAGTCATTTGTCAAATGTCTTGCTTTTACATTGTTGAAACACATTATTTTAAAACAGTTGGCCACAAATTAGCAGCGTGACAGTAGAGTCTTATTTTGAAGGTCGGAACCGGATGTCGCTCTCTTCTTGTATCCGCTACACTTGACGTAACGGCACCCTGAGAGGAAGACGCGGCGCCGTTTGTTGGGAATCTCACCGCGCGACAGGGCACGGCACGGCAGGCTTTGGGGAAGTCGGTGTCCCGCGGAACCCGCGCCTCCCACCTGGATATAACCGGACGCACGCGTGGCGGAGAAGCGGAAAATTATGGCGACGTTGGGACCGGAGTCGGCTCGCCCTCCCCTCGCCCAGCTCGGATCTCCCCCGTCTAACCAGCCTCACGTCGGCTGCGCGAACCTGCCTCCCAACCGGGGCTTGGAGCGCGCGCTGGAGGAGGCGGCGGCCAGCGGTGTGCTGAACCTCAGCTGCCGCAAGCTGAAGGAGTTTCCCCGGACCGCCGCCAACCACGACCTGAGCGATACGGTGGAGGCAGGTACGGTGCTCTCCGGGTTGTTGTTTTCTGAAGTGACAGGGTCCTGAGAGGCGCCGCTAGTAGCAGGACTGCAGCGTTGGAGAAACTGTTCACTGCTTTACTTGACGGCGGTGACGTTTCCGTTATTCATAATGAATCTCGACATGTTTACACCTGAAGCTCCAAGGAGAGATCGAAGGCGTGTGTGTTTTGGGTCCTACGGGCATTTGCAACTTTTGCAGTTGTGCAGTGAGTCAACACGCCGATTTAAGCCTCGTAATTAATGACCTGGTGGAGAAACGACTGAAGGTCCTGCAGGTTTATGCAAAACAGCAGTGGAAGTGGGCACTGGTTGCTAACAGTGGGCCTTGAGTGGAAATCCCCTCCACTTCCTTCCTTTTTTTTTGTCCATGTCCAGTTGTAAACAGGCACGAAAGGCATCAGGGACCCACACAGCGTCAGATTGTTCTGAAAACAGCTACTTGCTCCTGTTGATCCTGAAAATCTGTCTCCAGCTCCACATTCGGATCTACATATTTGTAGAGATGCACCGATCCACTTTTTTTCATTTCCAATATCGATATCTGAGGCTTAGCGGCTGATACTGATCTGGTGCGGGGGAAAAAATCGGTTCTACACTAAAATGTTTTGGACGTTTTTATCTACAGACACGCATGTGTTGAATTACACATTTGTTCGATACCTCTGCACCAGAAAAGCATACTTAAATCCACCCATTATTTCACAGGCTTGTCCAACATCCAACGTAAAACAAATGATAAGGAAACTGACTAAAACAATAGGTTGTCTACTTTGGTCAAAAGTGTAAAAAAAAATAAACTGCAACAAACCTTTCACATGGTTTGCTGCATTTTAAGCAAATCATTTGTTTCAAATTGGGCACATTGTCACCCATATCTAATCTAGAATTATTTTCTCCCGATACAGATATTAATATCGCATTTCTACATATTTAGCCTTGTAAAAGATATTTACACCTTTTTGAACTCATGCATGTTATTTTTCTCATCTAAGTTTAAAAATATGATTAAATGTGGTTACTCTGTGCAGGTTAGTGTCACAAATCAGACTTCTTTTTTATGTGACTAAAGTATTGCACATGGAAATGTTTTCCTGGAGCAGTGTTTATGTTAAAGGGGTTATAATTGGTGTGACACGCAGTCGTAGCCAGACTGTTGCCAAAAAAAGGGAGTAATAAATAATTGTTGTCACTTTTAGCATTTTTGCAACATGTTGCAATAAAACTTCAAATCCATGTTACCCGATCTTATGTGTTGAATCAGTTGATCGCATGATAAATGAAAACAAATTCATTCATGTCCATTTGCATGGTTTATTGTTGATACTTTTTTTCTCTTACTCCTGAAAACTGGATGACAAAAGCCTCAACGAGAGCACTATTTGTATTGAAGGACAGTTTTATTTATAACGACTCCATAATTCATTTTATTTGTTGTTTCTATTGATTTATTTTGGATATTTAAAATATGTCCCAGATTCAGTGGTAAGCATTCAATAGAATTTAAAGTTCATTGACTATTGAGACTCTCTTATTGAATTATTATGCTTTTACCTTCATATTACTTGAAAATTATCCGAAAATAACAATATTATTGTTTATCGCAATAACTTGTGGGCAATTTATTGTCCAGCAGAATTCGTGATTGTGACAGGCCTATGTGTTGCTCAGCAGGGATTGAGTGCAAAGAAGAATTTTTCATAAAGTCAAGAAAATTATCAATCTCGAGTTAGAGGTTTCTGCAGATGACACTGTGATACGGACTGCTACAGAAAATCCTCCTGACACTGCCATGAGCATCAGTGATTTATTTATTTAATTGAATTTAGCTTTGCCTAGTAACTAGCAAGAAAAAACAAACTTTTCTCAAGATTAACTTAATGATGCTTCCTCATTCTTTTTCTGCAAAGCAGAGCCCGTAAAGAATGGGGGAAGGAAAAAAAAAAACCTGCAACAGCTCAGTCACAACATTGCTCTTTAAAAATTTCAGCTGCTTCAACATTTCCCGCGTGTCCCAAAATGCCGATTTGTTGCAATCCAGGTCAAAAACTCCTCACAGGAATAAAAAAACAAACAAAACAAAAAACATTCTAGTTGAATTTAATAACAGATGTTGCTTTTCCAAGAAGCAAAACAAAATGAAATTCCTCTCCTCCCCTGGATGCGGTCCCCTCCTCTCAGAGCTGGGCAGACCGCGCCGTCATCAGCTGTGGAGCTGCTCCGACTTTATCTCAGGGCTCTGAAATGAAGCGCGGCTTACGTAAGACCATCACAGCTAATAACAGAAACAGGATGGAGACTTGGGGAGTTGAAGTAAAAGCGGGTGAGAACGCGACAACAGTGTTTTTATAGCTTAACCGGGAAGAACGTATCGGCTTTGTACAGCAGATTTTCATCTGGTATTTGCTTGTTTTCAGCTGCAGCAAAGAATGCATTGTTGTTGTTTTTTTTTTTAATTATGGAGTCTTTAATCCGGATCAGACCGCATTGTAATTACTGACCTCAGTGCTAAGATTTGCTTGCAGGAAGCTTCCCTGCAGTGAGGCCTGATCCGGATTCACCCGCCGACCAGCATCTTGTGATGCCTCATTTCTCACAAACTGATGAGAAAGCTGAGCAGGGAAACGTATCGCCAAGCAGACTTCTGCAGCCTCCAGGGCGCAGATTCTCGCTGTTTAGGTGTAACTCACACCTAAACAGGAAAGAAAAGGTGTGCGACTTGAAGCGAGGCCTGAGAAAAACGAGTGAAAATCTCTGATCACGTGGTAACTGAGACCAACCCCCCTTTTATCACCCCACACGCCCGCCGACGAAACAAAATTAGCAGAGAAAGAGCAGAGTGAGTCACCGTGACCGACGGACACGTGGGTTGAAGGGGACTCTTACTCGCAGACCTACATGTACAGAGTTCAACTTTAGTGCACAGAGAAGAAGATGCAGCTCATGCATGCAACTCTCAGCAGCAACACAAGCCTTGGCTTGTCTGGAAACACGAAATAGAGCTGGCAACTTTATGCGCTCCTCCCTCTGGGTCCTTCTGATTAGCTGAAGGTGTGTTTTTACTCTGAACAAGCTTTATATGAACTGTAGACAAAAGAATATAACCTCTTTGTTCAGCTCCTGTTTGGCCTATTTCTTTATATCAATTATAATTATTAGGAATGCACCATATAAAAACTTGGTATCATTTTCCAGTATTGTTGTTACAGCCGATAACTGATTTACCCATACGGTAAATCGATTATTGGGTAAAAATTGTGTTAAAGGCTAAAATGTTGTATTTTACATTTTCACACAGTTACTGTTTCTAATATCAGTTCAGTTTTTAAAACATGACTGACAATGGCTGATGCGAGAGGGGAGGAAAAAAACGTAACTCTATAAAGATTTAAAATTCCTAATCATGGGAATACTGAATCGATTCAGAATGCTCAAAAGTCAGTTTTAAAATGCATTTTAGACATACGTCGTATTTGAGTGTACCGCACATCACATTGCACGTCCACTTGCCCACCGTGTGTATCTTGAGTAATTCTTTGATTATTATTATTTTTTTAATTATTATTTTAAGAAAAAACATCAAAGAATTACCAGTTTGGTAGTGCATGCGACCCATTTTCTCAGCTGTGCAAACGAAAAAAAAAAAAAGAGTTCATTCGAGAAAACGTTTGAAAGTTAAGTGTCCAACACTGAAAGTCTCCTTGTGGTTCCAGGACAGTCGCACACGAGGCCAAACAGACTGAGCTACGCTAGGCTGGGTTAGGCTTTTCAGAGAATGAAGCAAGGCTTAGGATAGCGCGCTGGTAGCTAGGCATTGTCCTCTTAGGTTCTTTGCAGTCATGACTGTCACATCTTTTCTAGTCAGATGGTCGAACGTCCTTATATTTCCCACAGTTTTGCTCATAAATTAAACGCCCCGTCTGGTTACACTGATGATATTTAAGGGGTTATATTTGTGCCTCCAAACTGAGCGCTGTGAGACTGATGTGAACATCTGAGAAAAAAAACAAGAAATCACTCTGCTTCTCCTGCTGACACTCGGCCCAATGCCTGCATTCACTTCTTAACCAAACAAAAATGGACCACTTGTGAACTGCTCCCTGGTTCTGATGCATTTCGAGTTGAAACACTGAAAAAAAAACAGCACATCCATAAAATACATTACATGCTGACATGAATACACTGCTCAACTGTTTCCTGTCAAAACTACTGTTCAAAAAAGTAAAAGAAAAATATCTGTAAAAAGCTAAATTTGGCTCATTAAATTACTTTAAGCACTTTTTCAGTAAGCTACCTGTCAAGTACAGTTAAAATAAAAAACTGTGTGTTTACTAGACTTAATTATATACAGGTCAGTACCGTTTTAAGGGACAGTGGTTTACAAAAAAGCGAAACTGTAAAACTGTAACATTGAATGCGATGTCTTGTCAAATTTGGCTGAACCTTGCTTTTCTGCTAGTGCACCGAAGAAGAAAAAAAGAGAAACACTCAGTGCAACTACTACAAAACATTAGTCTAGAGCTGTAAAAAAAATCTTGAAAACATTAATTCGAGACATTTTCAGATGTGATTTCCATACTGTACAGCTTGACAAAGCTTTCCTAGTGTAATTTCTTGTCGAAGTGGTCCTTGCAGCAGTGTTGGTTGCTGTGCCATTAGAGGGTTCAGAGAGTGCAGAAAGGCTTGCTCTCTTGCCCTAAATGCACTGGACTTTCATCATGAAAAATTGAGGTCTTGAGATGGAGAAAACATGGAAACCCCTTCATATCTGTTGGAGAAGCATTGCTTGTACTTAGAAAGCGGACATTCTGCTCCCAACCATACCACCCGACTATATTTGGGACCTAAATGATCAAACCTCTTCAAAAACACAGTTTTTGTAAACTTCAAATTGCTTGTTTTTTTATGTCACGAAATGGGTTGCGTGTGGGAATGCTAGGCCTTTTTCCCACCTGATAGTCTGGTAGACTTAGTTCAATTG